AAGAATCGATGGAAAGCTGGGTGATAGTGACCATGAACTGATCACCTTTACTATCTATCACAAAGCTGGCAAATCAGTCAGCAATGCTGAAGTCCTTGATTTCAGCAAAGCTGACTTTGACAAGCTCAGGAGTCTTGTTGTTGAGGCCCTAAGCAACCACGACTTGACAGGAAGAGGAGTCCAAGAGGAGTGGGTGCTCCTCAAGGGAGTGATCCTGACCGCAGAAGGGTTGCCCATCTCATCTCGGAGGAAGGGTAGCAAAAGGGCACAACAACCCCTCTTGGCTCAGCAAGGAACTTGAGGACCTCCTACGCCTCAAAAGAGAGACTTATAAAGAATGGGAGGCTGGAATAACTACTAAGGAGAAGTACTCGGCACTAGTCCATGCCTGCAGGGAGCGGACCAGGAAAGCCAAGGCTGCAACCAAAATCCATCTGGCTTCACATATCAAGGATAATAAAAAGTCCTTTTTCAGATATGTAGGGAGTCAGAAAACAAGCAAGGTTAATATTGGACCTCTGCTGAAACAAATGAGAGAACTGATAACCAGCACCCAGGAAAAAGCCAACCTGCTTAATGAGTACTTTGCATCGGTCTTTCATCAGCCCAAAGAGACCGCCCTCCCTTGCAGGACATGGGATGGCCAGGGTGAAGGCATATTTATATCCAGCATTGGTGAAGACTTTTTTAAAGGAACACCTTGAGAGGCTGGACATCTTCAAGTCAGCTGGTGCTGACAGATTACACCCTAGAGTGCTCAAGGAGCTGGCAGGTGTCATAGCTCAACCATTGGCAAAAATATTCGAAAACTTGTGGCACTCAGGTGACGTTCCTGAAGACTGGAAGAGAGCCAATGTGGTGCCCATCTTCAAGGAAGGGAGGAAGGAAGATTCAGGGAACTATAGGCCAATCAGTTTGACCTCGATCCCTGGAATGATATGGAAAAAAATCAAAGAAACCATCAAGAACAGGCTAATGGAATGCAACATTCTGAAGGATAGCCAACATAGCTTCGTTGCAGGTAGGTCTTGCCTGACCAACCTTATTTCCTTCTATGATCAGGTGACGCATCACCTGAACAAAGGAGAAGAGGTTGATATCATGTACCAGATCCTGGTTTCTCAGGGCCTTGGTAGCCAGCCTCCTGAGCTTATGAAAGCCAGTTTTCTTAAAATCAAGGATGTCTGCATTGCTGGCTGATTTGCCAGCTTTGCGATGGATAGAGAAAGTGATCAAATCATGGTCACTGTTTATTAGCTTTTCTTTGATTCTCAGGTCACTCACTAGATCATCCCCTTTGTCTAGTACAGGGGTGTCCAAACTTTTTGAATATGGGGCCGGATCATGAACTTTTTATCACTCAGTGGGCCGCTGAGCCATATTCAAAGACCT